AAAAACAAAGATGGACATGAGCTGTGTTGTTTTTGGAGACTCTGAACCACATTATTTTAATAATTTGCTGTACGTGTCCTCATAATCTTGCCCCCCCCCCCCCCCCCACACACACACACACACAGATTTCTCCTCTGAGCAGTTGTCTGCTCACCAGGGCAAGGGCTCTGATGCAGAGAACAGGCGCACGTGCACACACACACACACACACACACACACACAACTATTCTCTTCTCCTGTTCCCACACTACAGACAGAAGGTTACGCAACAGCATCCAGCATGAAAATGAATCGCACATGCGGAACGCTGTGTGGTGGAGTTGCTAATGCTAACTAGCCCAGTTCTCTGCTGTTTCCTGGATGCTTCCCCGTCGTGAGCCAAGATGGGTGAGTCAATGAATGCTAAGTGACGGTGTGACGCAGATCTGTCAGACTTTTCTGAACCACTAGTTTTTCCATCTATTTTTATCAGAAGCTAATGCATGAGATAGTGGTAGAAGACCATTTTCACATTCAGCCCGCATGTTAAACTTTGAGACCGATCATTTTCAATAATAAGTAAAATATGGTGAACTTGCTCTTTAAGAAAGTTGTGCATAAACAAATATCTACAAACTGCAATAGACTCTAATTTGTAAAGAAAACATGTTGGGCAGTACTTTCCTTTTATTACCACTATACACTTTGTACTTGGGAAATATACTATAAAGGGTTTCCCATGAAAAAAGTGCTGCAGTTACTGTTCCTAATCCTAAATGCACGATTTGTTCTGTAGGGAATCAGATTCAACAGAATCAAGGGTACCACAGACTGAGCTGGATACATTTATTCAAATCAGCATGGAAATTTGTTCCCGAGGAAAACAGAAAGGGAATAATGCAGAAAAGATTGTGTTCAAATGTGCACAGCTGTTGACGCTGTACCAACAATACAATCGGATCATAAAACCCTTATAAAGCAATCTCAAACGTTCTGAAAATGCTACGCGTCGTTTGACCAGCAGATGCGTTTGCGACACCATCCTCGCACCTCTGTGCCTTCCCACAAGACTTAACTGAGCTTAAAGCGTCGTAAAAAAACAAATCTGACTGATTCTAGCAGGGAGGGAAAGAAAAGCATATGAGAGGCGTAACAAGACAGACTTAACAGGATTAAATATTTTATGGGAATTATTTATCTGACAGTCTGCTTGAATCTACACAACACCAGGCACATGTTCACCCTAAGGACAAACACCTTATTTCTTTCTAATGAAGAAGAAATCTGCTCAACTGGAGCACATTCAAGTCCTTTTAGCGTAGAGATACTTCATAATATTCCATGACCCAAAATAAGTTTCAACTCAAAAGTTTTCCAAATGACTAAACTGCAATGAACAACAGTAAAGTCCTGAAAAATTGCCACAACAGAATGTTTTACAAAGTTAATTCTTCATTTTTGTGCTCCAGGTTTAGATTTTCTGTCTTTTTGGATGCCGTGTGATCTCAAGATGTGTCCATTGGACATCTTGTGGAGGGTCCGATTCCCATCCACGTGCACGGCCAGGTGAGGTGGAAACTGTAAAGTGCCCACAGGTGTGAATGTGTTCCTCCACGTGTCAGTCTGACCTGTCTGCAGTGTTTTTCCCCTTCCCGCTGCCTCGTGCCAGCCAGGACACACTTCAGGGACGCTCTCGCCAAGTGGGCCTGAATAGGAAATGAGGATGGATGGATGGGTGTCACACTGGGAGACGTGGATGCATTGGCTGACACAAGACTGATAATGACCATGTTAAGACATGCCACCTGACACGCGACCATTAGCAAGTCCTCAGGGAGAGTACCTTCAAGTCATAAATTCCAAGCGTACTTTCAGAAACAAATCAATTTAGCAAAATAGCGTGCCCTTGAATTTCATTACGCGCAGTCAATTGTTGTTGATTTGCATTTACACTTGATGCTCTTTGGTTTAAACACCGAAACACTCCACTTTGGATGAAAATGTTTCCAGAAGGAGAGGGTTCATCACAGCCACACTGACCAGGTGTGCTCTCTGTGGTAGGTGATACAGACACAGAGAAGGTTTCTTATAACTCTAAAAGCAGATGCTTGCTCTCAATCCACAGCTTCCCTGGACTACCACTGAGACGGTTTATCCAGAAACACCCAGAATCCTCTCTTCAGTGAAGTTTTAACATGGAGGTCTTTTCCATTTGCATTCCCCCTTTGTTGTGTCTGAACTGTGAACAGAGCAGAACTTCTTCTGTGTTATCAGCCCGCCGACCGAGTGAGCGTCCTGGGTTAGTCATTCTGCACTTCACAGATGCATTTCCAAACAATTATCTAAGCTGCTCTGTGCATCACTTCTTGGATTCCTCTTCTCTTGTTAGCACCTGCTGTACAGTGGAGCACACTTCTATCTGAAAGTGAAGCTTCAGGGATGCAGAGAACATTAGTGATGCTAAAAGTTGTGCTGCACAGATGTGAAAAAATATTGGTTCTATTTCTGTTAAAGTAGGAAAAATCCACAGTGGTCACTAAAATAACCTGAAAGTGATAAAAAAACAATTATTCAAATGAACTTGAATTTGGCCAATGAAAATAAAACAATTTTTATTTTGTGGTTCAACGATAATTCTTAGACAAACTAATGAAACCGACTCCCGATCCTCCCCTTCCAAAAGTCCTAAAGTGGGCATACGTGGGCGTATGGGCGTATTTTCTAATCCGCTTTGCCTTAGGCCCTGGATCGCACATATGTTGTACTTCTATTTAAATGAAAAGTAATGATGGGTGTTTCGAGCATGCCAGTCACATCTTTGAGATTCATCAGCTGGTAAAATTTCGTAATTAGCATGACTACACACCAGAAATCGGCACGTCACATAATCTCCTCTCCCCTAACGAAGCTTCTACTTACCACATGGCTAGATATATGGTGGTTCTTTCGTCCTTTGGGAAGTTTTCTGAACTTACAGTCCGTTTCCCTCAGTTTTCTCAGTGTCTGGTTTGATGATGTCACTTTTGTGAAGCACATCTGTAGTTCTGGACTTATTTTCACACAAAACCTAAAATAACGTTACCCCCGTTCGAAAATAAGCACGTTCTTGGTATCAAAATGCTTCTTTAAAATTCACGGACATCATTTGTGATATCTATGGCACAAAACAAGCAGAATTAGAAAATAGCATTTTTAGCCTCGTGACTTTCTTTCACTTTTTCGTTCTTCCGGGATCCCATGGTCCGGAAGTATATGGGCGTGACTTTGGCTCCCTATGCCTCTGTTTGTTCTCTGTGAACAACTCAAACCTGAAGTAGTTCTGCCATGTGGTGGAGTTGCTAATGCTAACGGTTAGCTTCTACTAGTCGAGACATACTCTGCTCTCTCCTGGTGTCTAAATCAATAACAGCATTCCCTGTTGCAAGACAAGATGGGTGAATCTATGAATGCTAATTCACAGTTTGATGTAGATCTGCGTAGATTTTACTGACCCGAGAATGTCACCATCTATTTCCTTTTGGTGGCTAATGCAGAAAATAAGGATAGAAGAAAATGTTCACATGAAGCAGTGACTAATCTTATTTTTTAAGTATATATTTCTCAGTGAATTTTCTCCTTAAGCACGCACCTGATTACTGTAATTGTTAATCAGGTGTTCCTGTATGTGGTGTGGTATGAGTACTCTGGTCTACTTGGAAGGACATATGAACCACTCCTAAACTTGGGGCTATTGCGAGATTGCCTTGGTCAGGTTTCGAGGAAATAAATGTGGGCAGCTTGTTGAATGTGAAATGTAGAATCAGAAAGGGAGGTGACGGAAGGATGCTGCAGGCTCCTCCTCCGTCATGTTTGTTTACTCCAAAGTCATGTTTGATCTCGAGAGGTTTTGTAAGATTCCCCATCTGCCCGGGGAATATCCGTGTGTGAAATTGATCCGTATACACCTTTTGTCAAACCAGTCAATCCCTGATTTTTATATTGCCACGTTTTTTAAATCATCCACCAATTTAGGCATCCAATTGTTTGAACAGGGCCTTATGTGACCAAAGGGTCTAAAGGGGCTAAGATGTGTCCTTTAATTATCATCACGTTTTTCTCTAATCCTGTTATAAGCCAGTCTGTCTGTTTGAAGGGTGTAAAGTCACTTAGTGACTGTGGTTCCCTAGACTCACTCTGTCAGTGGATGCAGTCAAACTTCCTCCAGCTAAACAAAGACAAGACTGAAGTTATTGTCTTTGGAATTAAGACGGATGGGATAGAGGTTATTGTTCAGCTTGGCGCCAGAGCAATGAAGACAAAGACCCAGATTGGAAATCTTGATGTCATAATTGATTCACACCTGAGCTTCACTGGTCACATTAAGGATCATCTTCATCAAATAGCATGACTTAGAGGTCTCATGTTCTGACAGAACCTAGAGAAACTCATTCGTGCACACATCAGGGTGTGCACCTCACAGAAAATGAACCACAGGGAGCTGAAGACAGAGTTGTTTTAGGAGATTAGAACAGTAATTATTGACCAACATGTTAAAGGCTGAAAGATCATCCTCGAGCTGCTTGTTGGTCCTCTGGATTGGCTATTCAGAGGATAATTGATTTAAACAGATGGATAGTACATATAATGATCAAGTGGGCTAGAACAGCTTCAAAAGAGATGAGAGGTGACCTCCAAAGTCAAGGTCACTGTCGGATATTAACATATTGCATATCAATACATCAAAAGCTTCAGGGAGGATGTCCTTTGGACAAAAGATGCTTAGCTGGAACCTTCTGGGATGTCGTATAAGCTCCAAGTATACCGACACAAATCCGGCAGACCGCATACCCACTGCTCTGGCACTGCTTTGCTGCTTCTGGCACGGGAAGTCGTGAATTTGTTCAGGGTCCAATGAAACCTCAAGACCATCAAGTCATTCTGGAAAAAAATGTGCTTCGGCATCAGGAAGCTTGGTCCTCCATGGGTCCTTCAATGGCAGAATGAGTCAAAAGGGTGTTAGAAGCATCCAAGAAGGGCTGAGATTCTGAAAACAAATGCATTTATTTTCACTATTGTCAGATGAAATAAAAACACCCACGGTACATTACCTTAAGCCTTAATTTTTATACACAAAACAAACACAGGATGTGTACTAATAAAGCAGCTGACACAAATAAATAATCATCAAATAAATTTTCATAGAACAATTAAGTGAGGATCCCTTAGTATCTGGGTTGGTAATCTTAACTTCTCTCAGGCTGTTTCTAGGATGTGGGTGAACAGCTCTCTCCAAAACAACCCAAAGCACACACCCATGAAAATATAAAAAAAAAACCTTAAGATGATGTTGAGTTCACCAGGTGATTCTGTCTGTCTGCGTGCACATGCCCGTATGTGTGTGAGTCGATGGAACAATGTCTGAAATGCACGATAACATGTGGGCATGTTGATATCATCCAAAAAGTGAGAGAGAGAGATGAGCTCCAAATGCAGCACTTCAGCGACTCTAAATAATAAATGTAAAAGCTTTGATTCACAGCCAATTGCAGCTAACGCTCACATGCAGCAGCACAGGTGAGGGCGTCTAGAGAACACGCATATATTTCCTCTTAGTTCTTCCAGCTTAGAAAAGATCCAGGGGATTGGTGGTGGATTAGTGCTTGTTTACACCGGGAAAATAATGCAGAATAATAGAAGCATTTATTTATACATTTTTTTAAATATATATGTTCAATTATTTTTAGTTGGTGCACTGGAGATGTTCTACTATAAAGGCAGATAATTCTGTGAAATGTAAATGGGAATATTAAATGGACACGTTTTAAACCGAGCTCATTTGAACCCATCCCAGCCTGTTGAGGGCTCGGATCCCGTAGAGGTTCTGTTCAGCCGTGTGGCTCTCCTGGCTCTGAGGGACACCAGGTTCAGTAGTCTTTCCAGCTCATCCCCAGAACCTGCCAAACCAGCAGATCCAAGTTCGCCGCGATCCTCCTGCGAGCCCCTCCATCCCTCAGCCTGCAGGTCCCAGGCCCTCAGTGGAGGCATGAGCTGAGCTGGATGTAGGTTGAGGCCCGGGGGGCTTGGCGGATACCCCTCGTAGGCCCGCCGTGCTGGGGGTAGAGTATCATAAACACCGTCAGCGTCTTCGTTCTGCTCTACATCGTGGGTGGACTCTCTGTATTCCTCATAAACAGGTGAGGAGGTGTCTTCAAAGCTGTCACTGCCACCTGATGGCACATGGTCTCTGTACTGCGCTCCCATATCCCTGCTCCTCATGCCGGCATCCTTCCCTCCTCCTTCATGCCTCTTATCTTCTTTGTGTACAGTTTGTTTTCTTTCCCACTCGCCTGAATGGTTCCTCTCCCACTGGAAGGTCTTCCTCCTGCTCTCCTCTCCCCGTTCGTGGCCTCTGACATCGCTGTGACTCGTTCCGGAGTCTATCTGGAGGGACCGCGTGCTGCCTCCATGTCTGATGTTCTGCTGGTCATCGTCGATGTCATGATGGGATCCTGCCTCTGGAGGACGCAGCCGCGATGGTGATAACCAGCTCGAAGCATGAAAGGAAGTCTCCCACCGATACGCTGAAACAAAGTGAGAGAGAAATAAAGTGTTGGTTAGTTAGTTTGAAAGAGTTTATGGGCAAAGAGTTTGGCTTTAATGAGGAGTTAAAAACGTGTTCAAGCTAACGTGCTTTTTATGAGCCGGAGGCTGTACTCCATGAAGACTAATGAAGCTAAATTACTGGAGGCATGAAGTTCTCACTGTGATGTGTGTGCTACAAGCAGGACGGCTTTATTGGATCATGTGAGAAAGAATGAGATTATTCGTCTAACAGGATCAGGTCCGTAAACCCACCGCACATTTTAGACAACAGCGTCATTGTAATCTCATCCAAGGGAGGAAGACCCAGGTGACCTCTGTGAAAACTCTGTTGAGCAGCAGTTCTCAGAGAGCTGACAGAAAGATTTTCTCAAAACAGGTTTCTTAAAAGGACACTCAGTTTTAGTGCTCATGTGTAGTTAGCATCTAGCCTACACCAGATTGAGTGATTTAAAGAGGATATATTACACAAAATGTCTCTTTTGCATCCTTTTGTGCTGCCTTGTGGGTCTCTATTGCCTCTACAGACTCCAAACATGAAAACGATCCATCCATACGTTTTCGGTCAGTGTTTGGCTTTAGGAATTATACACCTAAAACGAGCAGTTTCAAAAAGTCCCCGAATGTGACATCACAACCAGGGAAATTAGCATAGAGCCATCTCTCATTTCTACAGGTCGGAGGAGCAGCGGCTCTATTGTGAGCCCCTCACGGAAATTGGAGCTTCTCTGCTTTTAGCAGCCGGGGGTGGGGGTGGGGGTGGGTGGGGGGGGGGGGGGGGGTGGTTGGGGCTGAAACGACTCATTCTGGAAGGTACTACATCTGTCCATCATAAAACTGCTGAAATCCCTTTATGTGAGAGGGATTTTGTGCAAAGAACTTTGTAAACATGTTTCTATGGACCATAGGACTATTTTAAAATGTGTCCCTTTTATGATTCCCAATAGTTTGTGAACTACAAAATTACAACACTCCTCCTTGAACCGTCACCTTATCGTGGTGGAGGAGTTTGAGTGCCCTAATGATCCTAGGAGCTATGTTGTCTGGGGCACTTAGTGCCCCTGGTAGGGTCTCCCATGACAAATTGGTCTTAGGTGAAGGGTGAGACAAAGAACGGTTCGAAGGATCTTTCATGGCGGTTAAAACGAAGAGTCGGAGTACCCGGCCCGGAGGGTTACCGGGGTCCCACCCTGGAGCCAGGCCTGGGGTTGGGGCCCGTGAGCGAGCGCCTGGTGGCCGGGCTTTCGCCCATGGGGCCCGGCCGGGCCCAGCCCGAACCGGATACATGGGCTCGTCCAACTGTGGACCCACCACCCGCAGGAGGAACATGAAGGGTCAGGTGCAATGCGAATCGGGTGGCAGACCAAGGCGGGAGCCTTGGCGGTCCAATCCCCGGACAAGAAAACTAGTTTTTGGGACATGGAACGTCACCTCGCTGGCGGGGAAGGAGCCGGAGCTTGTGGCAGAGGTTGAGCGGTACCGGCTAGATATAGTCGGACTCACCTCGACACATTGCATTGGCTCTGGAACCCGAGACCTGGAGAGGGGTTGGACACTCTACTTTGCTGGAGTTGCTCCGGGTGAGAGGCGGAGGGCTGGGGTTGGCTTTTTGTTAGCCCCGAGACTCTCTGCCTGTGTGTTGGGGTTTACCCCGGGGGACAAGAGGGTAGCTTCCTTGCGCCTTCGGGTCGGGGAATGGGTCCTGACTGTTGTTTGTGCTTATGGGCCAAATATCAGTTCAGAGTACCCACCTTTTTTGGAGTCCCTGGGACGAGTGCTAGATAGTGCTCCATCAGGGGACTCCATTGTCCTGCTGGGGGACTTCAATGCTCACGTGGGCAATGACAGCTTGACCTGGAGGGGTGTGATTGGGAGGAACGGCCCACCTAATCTGAACTCGAGTGGTGTTTTGTTATTGGACTTCTGTGCAAGCCGCAGTTTGGTCATAACGAACACCATGTTCGAACATAAGGATGCCCACCGGTACACTTGGTACCAGGGCAGCCTAGGTCACAGGTCGATGATAGATTTTGTAGTCGTATCATCTGACCTGCGGCCGTATGTTTTGGACACCCGAGTGAAGAGAGGGGCGGAGCTGTCAACTGATCACCACCTGGTGGTGAGTTGGATCAGATGGCAAGGGAACATGCTGCGTAGACCTGGCAGACCCAAACGCATAGTGAGGGTCTGCTGGGAACGCCTGGCAGAAGAACCTGTCAAGACGGTCTTCAACTCCCACCTCCGGCAGAGCTTTGACCACGTCCCGAGAGCAGTGGGGGACATTGAGTCCGAGTGGGCCTTGTTCCACTCTGCGATTGTCGAGGCGGCTGTTGCTAGCTGTGGTCGTAAGGTGGCCGGTGCCAGTCGTGGTGGCAACCCCCGTACCCGCTGGTGAACACCAGAGGTTCGGGGAGCCGTCAGGCTGAAGAAGGAGGCCTACAGGGCGTGGCTGGTCTGTGGGTCTCCGGAGGCAGCAGACAGGTACCGGATAGCCAAGCGGGGTGCAGCAGTGGCAGTTGCCGAGGCAAAATCTCGGGCGTGGGAGGAGTTTGGTGAGGCCATGGAGAAAGACTATCGATCGGCTCCAAAGAGGTTCTGGCAAACTGTCCGGCGCCTCAGGAGAGGAAGGCAGCAACTCGCTCACACTGTTTACAGTGGGGATGGGGAGCTGCTGACGTCAACTGAGGCTATAGTCGGATGGTGGAAGGAATACTTTGAGGAGCTCCTCAATCCCACCAATGCGCATTCCGAGGAGGAACCAGAGCTGGGAGGCCTGGGGATGGACTGTCCGATCTCGGGGGCAGAAGTTGCTGAGGTAGTCAAACAACTACACAGCGGCGGAGCCCCGGGGGCAGATGAGGTTCGTCCTGGGTATCTCCAGGCTATGGATATTGTAGGGCTGTCATGGTTGACACGTCTCTACAACATTGCGTGGTCATCGGGGGAAGTTCCTAGGGAGTGGCAGACCGGGGTGGTGGTCCCTATCTTTAAGAAGGGTGACCTGAGGGTGTGTTCCAACTATAGGGGGATCACACTCCTCAGCCTCCCGGGAAAGGTCTACGCCAAGGTACTGGAGAGGAGGGTCCGATCGATAGTTGAATCTCGGATAGAGGAGGAGCAATGTGGTTTTCGTCCTGGCCGTGGAACCGTGGACCAGCTCTATACCCTTGCAAGGGTGATGGAGGGGGCATGGGAGTTTGCCCAACCAATCCACATGTGCTTTGTGGATTTGGAGAAGGCTTATGACCGTGTCCCCAGGGGCACCCTGTGGGGGACGCTCCAGGAGTATGGGGTGGGTGGCTTTCTGTTAAGGGCCATTCAGTCCCTTTACCAGAGGAGCGTGAGTTTGGTCCGCATAGCCGGTAGTAAGTCGGACCTGTTCCCAGTGAGGGTTGGACTCCGCCAGGGCTGCCCTTTGTCACCGGTTCTGTTCATCACTTTTATGGACAGAATTTCTAGACGCAGCCGTGGTGTGGAGTGTGTCGAGTTTGGTGGCAGGAGAATCTCGTCTCTGCTTTTTGCGGATGATGTGGTCCTCCTAGCTTCATCCAGCTCTGACCTTCAGCTCTTGCTGGGTAGGTTCGCGGCCGAATGTGAAGCGGCTGGGATGAGGATCAGCACCTCCAAATCTGAGACCATGGTTCTCGACCGGAAAAGGGTGGCTTGCCACCTCCGGGTCGGGGGAGAGGTCCTACCTCAAGTGGAGGAGTTTAAGTATCTCGGGGTCTTGTTCACGAGTGAGGGTAGGAGGGATCGGGAGATCGACAGGCGGATTGGTTCGGCGTCTGCAGTGATGCGGACGCTGAGCCGATCTGTCGTGGGGAAGAGGGAGCTGAGCCAGAAAGCCAGGCTCTCGATTTACCGGTCGATCTACGTCCCAATCCTCACCTATGGTCATGAGCTTTGGGTAATGACCGAAAGAACGAGATCGCGGATACAAGCGGCCGAAATGAGTTTCCTCCGTAGGGTGGCCGGGCTCAGCCTTAGAGATAGGGTGAGGAGCTCGGACATTCGGGAGGGACTCGGAGTAGAACCGCTGCTCCTCCGGATCGAAAGGAGCCAGTTGAGGTGGTTTGGGCATCTGGTCAGGATGCCTCCTGGACGCCTCCCCGGGGAGGTGTTTCGGGCATGTCCTGCCGGCAGAAGGCCCCCGGGTCGACCCAGGACACGTTGGAGAGGTTACATCTCCAATCTGGTCCGGGAACGCCTTGGGGTCCTGCCGGAGGAGCTGGTGGACAAGGCCGGGGAGAGGACGGCCTGGAGCTCCCTAATTGGGATGCTGCCCCCGCGACCCGGACCCGGATAAGCGGAGGAAGACGAAGACGAAGACGAAAATTACAACAAAGACTTGTTATCTGTCAAATTTAGCTGATAAACATCTTCTGTTGTGATAACTGTGCTTATATCCAGCTTTTGAATAAATTGTAATCAAAATATTAAATTAGGATTTTTTTTCAGCTCTGGAGATGAAATCAAGACCCTAAAGTTTGTCATCTTACAGCAGGAACTATCCTCTCATTTAATTTAATGTTTCACAGCCAAACTCAAAAAAAGAAAATACATTCGTCCAACCCATGCTTTTACTTTGAAATTGGCTTGCACTTGGACCACACTGACGAGCCAAAAAATGGCCTGTTTGAGTGAAGCCGCATCCATAACATCTCAAAAGAGCTCCAGTATCCTAAAGTTCACAGCAACTCACTGCACTCAGTTTTACTTTTAAATATGTTGATCCTTTGTTTAATCAAAACGTTGAAAGTTGTGATTGTCTCCAGTAGGAATGAATGCCTTGTAGTCACTCTGGGGATAAAAAAAAAACTCTGGTGCACCATTTTCAGGAACTTGATGTGAGCCACATCAGAGCTGAGCTTCCAATGGCAGGATTTGGAGTCTTATTTCCTGATATTTGGACATCTCGCCTCTGATTGGCTAACAGCAAGGAGACTCTACCACCGACTCTTTTTGCTTTGCACCATTTATG